TCTATTTCTAGCTGAATAACTCAAAGGGTTTTTCAGTGATTCTTAAGGCAAATAGTATCAAGATGTCTAAACCTCATTAATTTAGTGGTTTTTGGTTTTTTTGTTTTTTTAGATATTAAACGTTTTGTGGGATGAAAAATTATGCGTTACACGATTTGGACAATTTTACTGTTACGCCCGGTACAGATCATACCATAGTGTCCCTTCAAAAAATCAAGACGAACAGAGCCTGACAGATAATTTGCATGATGGGAGTGCAAAAGGACTAGAAGTCCTAACTGTATTTATTATCGGTGGATACAATCTTAACAATATAGTACCCCTCTCTCTCTCTCTCTCTCTCTATATATATATATATATATATATATATATATATATATATATATATATATATATATATATATATATATATATATATATATATATATATATATATATATATTTATATATATCCTCCGTCAGTTGTCTTTATATATATATATATATATATATATATATATATTGAACAATAAAAAAATATTAAAAATTAAAATCTTCAGACACACTGGGTTGTAGATTAATATTCTTTCGTTTTTTTTTATTATTATTTCATTTAGACACCATAAGAGACACTGATGGCACTATGTTGATGGCAGGCGCAGAAAAAATACTACAGCAACTTCTCGATAATGTAGTAAAGGAAAGCAAGAAGACAGGACTAATCCCCAATTGTAAGAAAACAGAATGACTGCCAGCAACAGGAACAGCCCAAAACGCGGTCTACCAATCGGAAATACCAAAATCAAGCAAGTGCAAAAATTTAAATATCTGGGGCGTATTTTAATAGAATACGAAAAAGGCGATGCCGAAATCCGTAGGCGAATTAGAATAGCGGAACATGCCTTCCAAAAGCTAAGTAAAGAAACAGGGAAAATTGCATTAGAAACAAAGAAAGATAAAATGTTATATAGTATCAGTTTTTATGGTTTCTTAATTTATATCAAAATCAAGTGCAGAAGTTTAAATATCTGGAAAGTTTTTTAACAAATAACAGAAAATTTGATTCAGAAACGCGAAATGCACATTGGAATAGTAAAAAATGCCTTTCAAAAGCTAAACAAAAGAACAGTAATGCCTTGAGATACGAGCGTGCCGACATAGGAGTTTTTTGAGATACGAGCCGGAGTCTGGCCGATTTTTTGCCTTGAGATACGATCTAAATTTTGAGATACGAGTGAGTTTCAGTTAATTATCATTTACTTGGCCTAGCAAGCGCCAAGCATCGAGAGTATTTCCACTCGCAGTACATGTGTTCGCCTCACCCGGGAAGGATCCCTGTTGGGTTGGGTTGGTTGTTTTTTGTTTTTTTGTCGTTATTTGGCAAAATTACTTTAGTGACACCATGGCTCTGAAGAAAGTAAGTGTAAAGAACAGTGATGAAAAGCCATAACGTAGGATTTTTATATAGAGGTAAAGCGGGAAATTTATAAAAAATTATGAGGAAATTGTACGAGTAATGAATCTGTCGAAACAGTATGAGCGTTCTACATCGACGATAAATTAAAAAAATTTTAAATTTTAAAAAAAATTAGTTACAGTAATGGATAGAATGTAAATGTTTTAAAGAATTTTAAAATCAAGTAATAAAGTTAATCTTCGATTTCGTAAACAAGACTAGTGTTGCTAGCCGAGTTGTTATTGTACCCCCCTCTCTCTCTCTCTCTCTCTCTCTCTCTCTCTCTCTCTCTCTATATATATATATATATATATATATATATATATATATCCTCCGTCAGTTGTCCTATGACTATATGTATATATATATATATATGTTGAAACATTGTATATGGCACGATCAACGAAATCAAAAAACGTCGAGCCTGGTAAGTAACTAAATGGATATCCGCTTTGGAATTCACACTACGTGGTATTCCCAAGAGGAATTTTAGAGAAATAAAATCAGAAAGATATGGTATATAATTTTGTTTTTGCGCAGGGGTTCCTTGAGACATGTAATTTATTTTAAGGGTTACGCAAGGGTAAAAAGGTTGCGAAACGCTGGTTTAGATGCATGTGGACCAAACATGATTTGCCAAGTACCAAAAAATATAATATTCTTCCCTTTTAATGATCTCCTTGTTAAGCAAGCGCTTTATTTTGTGCGGTAATGGGAATAACAGTTGAATGTGTGAGCGGTGTGATGGGTAAAGGCTCGGAATTGTTAACTGGAGAGCCGAGTTCCAATTTCATTTGGGTTTCTTTGGGAAAAATTATGAATCTACCCCTTCTCCCCCAGCTGTGGGTTAGTTAGTAAACCATTATTGTCTAAAACAATTCTTACAATCTAAAAATATTTTCTTGCTTTACATAACCTACAAAGGCTTGAATAAGACGTAAAAAACGAATCAATCAATTTTTGTGTCTATTTTTCGATGATAGTGTACTCGGTAAATTCATTCTAAATCGTCCTCGCTTTATTTTTAAAACAATGCGTGTGTAATCTTACGCTTTTAAAATCCTGGCATTAATTCTAACGCTCGTACACACAAACACATACACATACGCATACGCCTCTACACACACACACATATACACATTCGCACATAGACGATTGTCGAGGATTCTTCAGTTTTTCTTTATTCTGCTATCAACACGTGTCGTCAAAGAAATGGGGAAACACCCTAAAATATCTATGGTTGGCAAAACTGAAAAGTTGAATGTTCAAATATCCAGAAAAACTACTCCGTTATATTTCCTACACACAGGAGTGATAAACGTATTGAAAGTATAATTCATATCCAATTGTGTGTTATAGATTCTTCTTCTTTTATGTCCCGTGTCCCTTAAGGACGTAGGCGATCACGGCCCTTCACATCTTCCTGTCCCTTGTAGCTCTTAATTTGTCTTTTTTTTATTTCTCCCAAATCCTGTTCTGCCATCCATTTGCTCAAGCCCATCAAGTATATTACAAGTTGCATTCCTCTGTCCCTATTTCCCTCAATCTGTCCTGTAAGTATCAAATTCTCCAAGCCTTCCTTCCTCATTACGTGCCCCAGAAATGTCTCTTTCTGATGTTAAGTATAGGTTTCCTTTTTGTTTCCATTTTCTCCAAAACATTCGGTCTATGGTATCCTCAGCATCTTTCTGTAGGACCGCATTTCTGTCTCTATTTCTGAGATGAGGTCTTGTAATTATTTACATTGTTCGGGCTGTTGTCCTCATCTTTACTGCCATATTCACGACGTTTCAGCCGTTGTACACTCCGGCCTTTTTCAGGTGACTGGAATTTCGAACCGAAAACATTATTTCGTCCACCGGGGTAGATTGTTCTAGTTCCACGTGCCAGGCCTCTTCCGAATGTCTCAGTTATTTCCCTTTATCTCAACTCGCCAAGATTTTGTTCACCGCTACAGTAGTTCATCACTTTGATCCACTGGGCCATGTACATGGCCCAGTGGATCAAAGTTGGTAGGATCAAGTGACTTGACCTAAATAGTTGGGAGTTCAATACATGGCTAATGTGGAACTAGAACATTCTACCACAGTCAACGAACTAAAGGGTTCAGTTCAAAATTCCAATCACCTGAAGAAGGCCGGAGCATACAACTTCAGAAACGTCCTTAATATAGCAAGAAATATGGGGACAACAGTGCGAACAATGTAAATAATGTAAATAATCACATTTCTGTTACTTCAAGTCTCTTCTTCATCTGTGGAGAGATTGTCAAGCATTCGCTACTGTACAGGAGGAGAAATACTGCATAAGAGTTCAGTACTCTTTTCTTTGTTTCTAACGAGTGTAATTGATAACGGTTTGGGAATACTAAATCGGAGAGCCGAGTTCAAATTCCAGTTAGGTTCTTAACATTCACTTACGCGTAATTATTCTTGGGAAAGACATGAACCCATGTCCCCCCCCCCCACACCAGTTATGAGTTGAATAGCAGAATCGACTGTGTCCTAAAGCCTTGGTTGGCAACCAGTCTAACGCAGAAAGAAACGTTATCCTACTTCGGGAAAATCATCTGCCAAGTCAATCATGAGGCGAAAGAGACAGAATCGTTCTAGCATACATTGTGTATGGCACTTTACTGACTGAATTAACTGAATTAATATCCAGGCTTCGGGGATTTTCGCAATAGCAAACTGACATGTCACAAAGCGATATAGCTTGACCTTCTCGGTCTGCAATTTCATGACAATTACCTTCGACTCATTTTCGATAATTTTCGCAACACCCACAAATACACACAGAGAGACAGTGAGAGGGAAATAGAGAGGAAAAAGTTGTTTTCCGGTCATTTTTCTATTTGTCTTTAGTTGTTTCCCCCGGCTTACAATCAACTCCGGGTGTCAAGACAGTTGGTAGCTAGACAAAGATCAACACTGTGGAAATTGTCCGGCATTTGCTGCCATGTAGGACTGATTTTATATAGCAGTTCCACTTTCTGTTCTTTGTTTTTAACGAATTTTTCCTGTTTCGTAATGCTTTGTTTAGCTTTTGGAAAGCATATTTCGGTCTTCCTATACAAGTTCGGATTTCGGTGTCACTTTCTCTGTTGTTTGTTAAATCACTTCCTAGATAGTTGAATTTCTCTACTTGTTCCAATTTGTAGTTCGTATCCCGAGTTGCCCCTTTTGGTGACAACCTTACACACTGTCTTCTTACCATTGATGCTTAGACCTTTTTTTTCCTGCCTTATTTTATTACATTATCGAGAAAAATTGATTTTCCTCGCCGAAAAGTGATTCTCTCGTTTTTTACGGCATGTCAAACTTTTGGAAGGTTATTTATAACCAGAAAATATCTTTATACTGTAAGAATTTTTTTGAGATAATAATGGTCCAGTGATACAAGCCTTAATAATTAACCCATAGATGGGGGAAGAAGAGATGGATTCAGACCTTCCCCAATGGTATTTGCATGTAAGTGATTATGATTAACCCAACGGGAATTGGAACTCGGCTCTCCGATTAAAAATTCCGAGCCATTAAACATTACACCACCCATACATCCAAGTTTACAGCACCTGGTCTTCACAAGAGGTCACCCTTCTAGGTACTGACCAGACTTGACGTTGCTTAACTTGGGTGATCGTACGAGAACCTGTGTTTCAAGCTGATGTGGCGGTAAGTCTTTCGTCACCGAAAAAGATATTTCAAAATAAACCGACTTCCGTTTGCACAAATGTTGATAGTTCGATGCAATAGATTTTAAAACACGTCTTTTCAAGTCAGACGAAACGCTAAATGCTTGGTTTGTCATCTGAGAGAATATTCTTCTAACTTTTTGAAGCTAATTGTACCCCCAAAAATGTAGCCCCCCTACCTTATGCAAAAATAATGTTGCTTATGAATTCTCAGGTCCTTTGGGAGATTGCATCTCCAATACCAATAATGGAAAAAAAATCTTACATTGGTCGCACAAACACCACAATATCTTATGAGTTAACTTGTCACTTATCGAAACTTCGTACAATTTATGTACATATCAATTATCGCATCACAAGCAAGAAACATACACCTACTGACATATGATAAATATTAGTAGATAATTACACTCACTGTAAAGAACGATTTAAAATACGCTGTCCACTTGTTGAATTAATACCAAGTAGAGTTTCCCAGGATAGAGTGTGTCTACCACATACTTTCCAAAAACCTTTGGCACATCAGTGTATCAATTCTTTGAATCATGTATTAATTACGACCTCTCTACATATATGCACATATCACTTACAAGCAAGTTGTTAATGGCAATAAAGCCGAATATTTTGTAATGTCAGTCACTTAATTCGGTTGTTGCATCACTACCACATCAGTAAATATAGTTCACGCGATTGTTGATTGATTAGGTTTTTACGGTTTATCAACACTTTGTGTGTTATTTAAAGCCGAAATATATTTTGGATTGTAAGAATCATTTTTTGCGAGTAAATATAGCATTGTCATTTGGAGATAACAGTGATTTTTCCAGTTGTGAGTCCTACTATTTAATCCATATTTGGAGGGAAGAGGTTTTTTTTAGTTAATAATAGTTTAATGATACAAGGCTTACTAATTAACCCATAGCTGGGGGGGAGAAGAGCTGGATTCATACCTTTCTCAAAGTTATTTGTGCATAAATGAATATAACGGACCCGACTGGAATTCGAACTCAGCTTTATGATTTTTCATTCCGAACCACTATCAATTGCACAACCCGCACACCCATCGTTCATGCGAATCAAACTACGTGGTTTTCCAAAGTTAGGACTATAATGGGGTATATATATATAATTTTCTGGCGCTCCAAAAGTTCCATTTTCTTCTATGAATTGCTGTGACTCCGTGAGAAAGATAATGTAGTTGTTTCCCGTTACTGTCTTCGCTGTTTTTAATTCCTTCTCATAGACTAGTTGCCATCAAAGGCTGGAGAGCCAAATCCCCCCAGTCTTTGATACTATTCTCTCTATACACTAATAAATATCTGGGAAGTGTTCTAATAGATCTTCTAAGATCCGAAGACTCATTGGGATGGTCAAAGATCTCGTTAGAAACAAAGAAAAGAGTACTGCTACGTGATATCTATCCTCCTATATGGCAGCGAATGCTGGACAATGTTAGACATTTTCATGACGGTCGTCCTCGAGTATAGAATCCAGAGGTTGGCAGTGAATATTTCGGAGGCAGTAGGAAAGCGTACTTTAGGTTCGCAGTGGATATCACAGCAGAGTGTAGTTCTTCCTTCTGTCGTGTTCGCCTGATAAGTTGGCACTGGTCCTTCCGGAAGGGAAAACAAAGATGGCCGCCTTTATACACGACGGATACGATCTTCAGCGGCTCCTGATTGGTTAATCTTCTATTGGTAGACTATAAAGGGAAATAAGTCATTCTGACTCGCTCACTAGTTACACACATATACACAAAAAACTGTAACAGACAATCTCCTCCATGATGAAGGAGAGGCTTAAAGGAACAGAAATGTGGTTGTACAGAAAGATGCTAAGGATAACATGGGCTGAACATATTAGCAACAACGAAAAGAAATACTTAACATCAGGAAGAGACATTTCTGAGGGACATAATGAGGAAGGAAGGCTTGGAAAATCTGATACTCACAGGACAGATTGCGGGAAAGAGGGACAGAGAAAAGAAGCGTGTAACTTACTTAATGAGTATGAGTAAATGGATGATAGAACAGGGTTTGAGATAAATAACAAAAAATTATTAAGAGCTACAAAGGTCAGGAAGATGTGGAGGGCCATGATCGTCTACGCTCTGAAAAGTGTTAAGGGGTTCACCCCTTTTTATACAAGTGGACTCGCCCGGTGTGTACTTGTACTGCTGCCGGTGAATACCCGGGAGTGATACAGTGAGGGAGAGTGAGTGTGTGAGGTAACCGCTTTGTATGAGTCACAGTTGCGAGCACGTAGACTCAGAAGGAAGTCCTACTTCGATACTGAATTTCCCAGACTGTATATATATTATTATTGCTACTAACGGCATTTCTGGATCTACTAACCGTATTACCAATTGTATTATTACGTCAATACATTTATTTGCTATATTTCATTCCTGTGTTTGTCATTCATCTGAGACCAGATTTCATCCCGGAATCCACAACAAAAGGGTATGACGCATAAAAGATTAAGAATACACTAATATCCCCATTAATAAATTCTTTATCAATTTAATTTTATGTCTGTCTATATTTCTGAGATGAAGTATTATGTACATTATTTACATTATTCGGACTATTGACCTCATCTTTGTCTCCATATTTATCACAACGTTTCGGCCGTTGTACGCTCCGGCCTCAAGGACACATGGATAAAGGCGTTGGTTAGTGACAAGACCCAAAGAGTGTGAGTTCAATACCCGGTTAAGGCAGTGGAGAACTTTCAGAGGGAAAATTAGCAGGAGATAACTGATAACTGACATCCATTAAAACATGGCACGTGGAACTAGAACAGTCTACCCCAGTGAGCGAAATAAAGGGTTCAGTTCGACATTCCAACCACCTGAAGAGGGCCGGAGCGAACAACGGCCGAAACGTTGTGATAAATATGGCGACAAAAATGAGGACAATAGTCCGAATAATGTAAATAATGTTAATTTTATGTATTTGTTGTAATATGGAGGAAGACTAGATCACTGTGGCAGTCTGGAAATATGTGACAAGAGTAGGTCTCTGTTACGCGGGGCCTTCCTTAGGTGTGGGGTTTGAGCATGGGGTCAAACCAGAGGACAACAAGTTTAATTTTCCTTAAGCCAGCCTTGATTAAAGTAACACAGCAAATTTCTTCTTTAGCGACCTGACTCTGAATCGGACAAAACTCCATCTCTTCCGCTTTTTCTCTCTTCCTCTATCGCCCTATTTCTTTATCTAACTCTTTCCTCTCCCTTTCTCTCTCTCTCTCTCTCTCTATCTTCTTTTCGATTTTTTCATGTTTCTACGGCAGTTTTCATGTAGTTTGCGGCCATTTTGTACTGGTCAGAGTGAGAGCCTATAGCTGGCTGCCACGAATAGGCAGGAAGATTCTATTGGCCAGCGTGAGAGCCAACAGCTGACTGACACGAATGTTAAATAGCATGCTAGCATGCAAAAAAATCGATAGCTGCATTCGTCACAAGTGGGAAAAATTTAAATCTGCATGGCACTTTATTCCAATTGGCTAATTCGCTTGCTTAAACTCAACGTTGATTCTGATTCCGCAGAATTGGGTTGGGTGTGAAAAAGTATTTTTTGTTAACATGCTTTTTTCATTCGGTTTTTCCAGTTACGAGTCCTTTTTTAAAGCTGATCGTTTTGTGTTCATTTTGTTTGGTTCTTTTTTCGTAACAGATTTAATGTTTAGTAAAGAGCTTAGAAAAATATCGCAGTGTGAGATAGGCAAGAAGTAAGGCATGTAGCAACATCAGAACGGCAAAGTGCACTCCTTTAAAGGCAAGGAAGGGCAAAAATATTTTAAGTGAAGTGATAGCGATTGCTGTATGAGTCGTACGATTTTTTAATCAAGAATGGGCAACGCCGAGCCATGCTAGTATATATATATATATATATATATATATATATATATATATATATATATATATAGAGAGAGAGAGAGAGAGAGAGAGAGAGATAGATAGATAGATAGGGTTCGTTGAATATAAGACAAAGAAAATTTAAGTATTGTTTATTTAGTTTTTGCAGCATTCTTCCGTTTGGTGGAAGCAAGAAAGTGCAAAAATTTTCCATATTGTCTATTATCCCCAGCGCTTTAGGCCACTTCCTTAGCCATTTTCATGGTTAAAGGAGTGGCCGAATGATCTTGGAGCAATGGACAATATGGACAATTTTTGCACTCCCTTGCACCCACCAAACGGAAATGTAAAGATGAAAAACTAAAATTAAGTAAATTTTCCTTGTCTCATATTCAACGAAACATGTTTAAAGAAAAGTTGCTGCCCAAATATATATATATATATATATATATATATATAGAGAGAGAGAGAGAGAGAGAGATAGATATAGAGAGAGAAGGTAAAGAGAGAGATGATCTAGACTCTAGAGGAGAGAGAGAGAGAAAATGGAGAAAAATGAAAGAACGGGAAATAAAAGAGAAAAAGAGAGGGAAAGAGGAACAGAGATATGAAAGGGCGGATGAGAAGGAAAGAAGAGAGATGAAGAGAAAGGGAAAGATATAGAGAACTAGGAAAAGAGAGATAGAAAAATCAGGAAGACAGAGAAAGAATAAAAGAATGTGAGAGAGAGAGTGGAAGAAATTATTGTCTTCAAAGTATTATTGCACGGACATATCAAGTTTTGGAAGAAGAGTAGGAAAGAAAGATGAGGAGAAAGAGAGAAAGAGGAAGAAAGAAACATAAAAGTGAGAAGAAGAGAGAGAAAATTTCCACTATCGATGGGAGTTGGGAAATGCAAAGTCGGTCTTGTGCTTCCCGCTAACTTGGAGCATGTGCATGTAAATTTTGGCGCAAATCCGTCGAAAATTGCCGCCGTGCATTCGTTACAAACACACACACACACATCCTGCCTTTTATAGATAGAGATATGTATGTATGTCTACTAGGTGCGATTGGTAAATTGTCGTCATTTTATATTTTTGATTTCACGCATGCGCGCTGTTTGTTTTTGATTTTGTCG